GGTGTGTGTGAGTGTGGCCAGCTCAGCCCACCAGGGGGCGGGGCCGGCTGGCATGTGGCGCTGGGGGATTGAACCGCGGTCCCTGATGCTTTTGCTGAGCTTGTTTTAAGTAGGTGCTTTAGACCACTGAGCCATCTCTCCAGCCCTGGTGCCTACATTGACACTTGGCTTTGAAAGGGCGCCCTGGCTTCTCCATGGTCTCAGCAGCCCTCAGAATCTCAGAGCTGGGTGCACTGTGCCAGTATAGTTTTTTGGTTTTTTTGGCGGAACCGGGGGTTGAACTCAGGCCCTTGCTCTTGCCAGGGAAGTGCTTATCCTCCTGAGCCATCTCCCCGGCCCCTATGTGCCAGTATAGTTTGACATCTGTCCCTGAAGGGCTCTTCTCTCAGGTACAGCATTGCTCGTCCCCAGAGGTGGGGCGCTCCCTCTCTGGGTAGCCCTTTACGTCCTGTGGGCTGTGGAGCACTGGCAGGAGCACTCATTTCCCATCTAGGACTGTGCCTCTGCAGAGCTGGGCTCAGTCCTGCCATGCAGCTGGCTCAGCTTTGCTGGGGGCGTGTGGGCCGGGAGGGGACAAACTCCAGGCTGAGGGCCATGGCCTCCTGTGCTTCACTGGCTGCCAGCCGGCATGTCACCTAGGAAGAGGGCAGGCAGCTGGACTCGCTGGTGATGGCCCCTCCTTTGCTCCTTCTCCTCCTGCTCAGAGAGGGAGACTGGTGGCTGGCGCACTCACTGAGCACAGGGCAGACGGGCTACATCCCCAGCAACTACGTGGCACCCTCGGACTCCATCCAGGCTGAGGAGTGAGTATTATTCGCTGGCTGCATCTGCCTGCCTGTCCTGCAGAGCAGAGGTTGCCTGGGCCCGTCCTAGGGAGAGGCTCCGTTGGCAGCTGGGAGCCTGGGCCACTGACGCCAGGCTTATCCCTCCCACCTAGGTGGTACTTTGGCAAGATCACCAGGCGGGAGTCAGAAAGGTTGCTGCTCAACACAGAGAACCCGAGAGGAACCTTCCTGGTGAGAGAAAGTGAGACCACGAAAGGTAGGTGCTTTCTTGCTGCCACTGGAAGCGGTTCTCTCGTTGGAAAAGCCAGCGTTGTAGAATGAATAGTAGTTTGGAGTACAGAGTGGGAAGAGCCCCTTACATAGAAGACAGCAGAATCAAAGTCAGGGAGGTGTGTCTGAGGGAAAGGAGAGTCATGGAGGGCCAGAGGTACAGTGGAAGGTAAGGCTTTGTTTCTCTGGACTTAGCTACTCAGGATAAGAATGGACACTGGGTATCAGCAGGTCTGAGTGCCACCCAGCAGAAGCCTACTTCCCAGGGCGGGTACCTCTGGGGACCTGGGGCTTCACCCTTCCCCCCACAGTCCTAGCTCACTCCTCCCTGCCCCTCCGCCATCGACAGCGAAGAGCATCCCCCGTCTCTCCATCCCCTTGGAAAGTGGGTTGCAGGCGCCTGTCACTATGGCAACCAAGCTGGGCTGCCTCCTGAGGACCTGGGGCTCAGCAGGCGCTGGGAAAGCAGAGCATCCCTGTCCTGCATGTGCGCTGTGAGCGGGCGTGTGGCAACTACACTTGTGCGCTGTGTGAAGGGCCGGGCCTATGTGCACATGGGGGTGGGACTGGCCATGTGTCACTGTGTAGGAGGAATGGTGGTGGCTTTGTTCCAGTGCCCAGGGTCTGGGGAGCATGCACAGCTGTAAGCACACAGCCACCAGGCACGGCATGCCTGTGCATGTGTGTACTTATGCCCAGGGCTGGCATCAGCCTCAGGCTGTGGCCTCTGGTGCACACAGCCCAGGCCATCTGCAGTGCAGCCTGTAGACACTTGGGTATGGTTCAAGTCCCAGCTCTTCATCCGACTTGCCAGCTAACCCATGCCTAAGCAATTTCCCTCATTTCCCCCTTCTTTACACTGGGATGTCCAGCTCCACCTAGGGACTATCCAAAGGTCCCAGGGCCATGGGTCTGGCTTTCCATCCTATGGATGCAAACTGCCTGGAGGCTCCTGAGCAATGTCTTCTCTGGTCTTAGAGTCTGTGACCTGTCACTGGGGTTCAGCCTTGTTCCCTGGTGGCACCCAGGTATCCTTGGGCTCCAGTTAACAGAGAGTCCTAACCTGGCAGGTGTGCCTGGCAGGAGGAGTCTCTTTCAGAAAGAGCTTTTCTCAGCACAGGAGGCTTGGCCTTGGCAGCCTGCAGGCCGGTCCCAGGCTCCCAGCTGCCATTTGCTGCATGCCTGCTGTGTCCCAGGCACACTACTGTGTAGTTGTTTTGAATCTTCCTGGCAGCCGTAGGAGCACCCTGTTGGGCAGAGGAGGACAAGGACTTGTCAAAGGCACACAGTTAGGTTGCACACCCAGGATTTGGAGATCTTGTCTGGGGCCAAGGGCTAGTGGTGGGACTGTTACTCATGGCTGTGCCCTGGTGGCTATCCCTGAGTTGCACAGACAGAAATGGTGTAGCCTCAGGGCTTCCCTGTGGTGTTGGCCAAGCAGGATGCTGTGCTCAGGCAGTGTCCAGGGCTGTGGCCTCTGGAGGTGGCAGTGCTGTGATCATGGTCCCTTTCCCTGGCTGTACCCCAGGTGCATACTGCCTTTCCGTGTCTGACTTTGACAACGCCAAGGGCCTCAATGTGAAGCACTACAAGATCCGCAAGCTGGACAGTGGTGGCTTCTATATCACTTCACGCACCCAGTTCAACAGCCTGCAGCAGCTCGTCGCCTATTACTCCAGTAAGCTCTGGGGACACCCCGCCTCTGGTGCAGACCGTGCGAGGGGCCTTGGCACCACCGGGCAGGGGCTTCAATTCTCCTGAGGATGCACCTATCACCTGTGCACTCCTCCCTCCCTTCTACCCCCACCCTGTTCTCCTCCTCCTCCTCCCTTTCCCTGACCCTCTGCCCTTCCCGCCTCCTCCTCTGTAGCTGGCTGCCGAGGAGGGAGATGCCTTGCAAGATCTGGGAGGGAGGAGACATGGGCTGGTGTTGTCTCTGCAGCCCCGCTATGGGCCTGAACTGGTGACTAGGAGAGCAAGGGTGGGGTGACCATGTCTGTTTCAGCCAAACTGGAGAAGCAGAGGGTGGCAGAGGGAGCACTGCACTGGGGTGCTGGTGGCCTGGGCAGGTGCTGGGTGCTGCAGTGGGGCACACCCATGTGGATGTCCAGGAACCTGTGAGTGCTGCGTGTTCCACCTCTCACCTGGGCCACCTACCTTCCTCTAGGATCAGTCACCACTCTGGGGTGAATGCCTTAACCCTGACCCTCAGATCTGCCTTCCAGGGGGCTGCTCTCTTGGAACGTATGATAGAGACCTGAGAGCCCCCAGTCCTGGTGTCCAGCTCACCCCTTGCTCTCTCCTGTGCACAGCTCTCCTGAGGCATTCCGTGGTCCCAGGGAGCACTCACATCCCCTGGGGTGTGCGCTCCCTACTGGCAGCACCACATGCTTGCCCCCTCAGGGTTCCTGGCACCCTTCAAGCCCTGTGAGTGAAGGAGGGGATGATAGGCTCCATGAGCCCTGCACAGGGCCAGCAGGCCCAGGCGCAGTGGGTGCAGACATGGGGCTGGGTGCCCTTCTTGGAGGGTGTCCTGTGAGCGCACCCATGTGCCCCACTAAGCTCTTCTCCTTGCCTCCTCTTCAGAACATGCTGATGGCCTATGCCACCGCCTCACCACTGTGTGCCCTACCTCTAAGCCACAGACCCAGGGCTTGGCCAAAGACGCTTGGGAGATCCCCCGGGAGTCCCTGCGGCTGGAGGTCAAGCTGGGCCAGGGCTGCTTCGGGGAGGTGTGGATGGGTAAGGAGCACTGCCCCTCTAGAGCTGTGGCCATGGGGAGGGGGTTTGATGTGGTCATCTGGGAACAGGCAGGGCTCCATTCTGGGTGGCAGCTCAAGGTTCCTGGGTTCCTTTTCTTTTAGTTGTCTCTACAGAAAAGAGAGGCCCGCTTTTTAAATGTGGAGCTCCCAGTGGTGGCCCTCAAGTGTGGTCACCTACCACTCCATGATGAAAACTCAGGTCCTTGTGTAGGGAGGCCTGGGCCAGTGGCTAAAATTTCTTTAAATCCTCAGAGTGCCCCACAGGTTGGCACAAATAAGGAAACAGGCTGAGGGAAGGGACCCCACTGACCCCATTCCTCCCATGGTCTCTCCTAGTGCAGCAGCTTGCTTTTCAGAGTATGCAGGTTTGGGATGCAACCTCTTGTTCTTGTGGCAAAATGGCCGCTGACCCAACTCTGCCTCCCCACTGGGACACATCTGTTTGCTGACAGTGGGGTGTCTTCCATGCCGCAGCTGGCAGAAGGGGTGCTCAGAACTGTGGTCTTCGTCTGTCAGGCTGCTGTGTTGCTTTTGAGGGACAGTCCTCGTAATCCAAGTCCTGACCCAGCTCCTGTTTTGTGAGCAGTGCCAGGAGCCACATAGGCCTGAAATAACCCTGAGGCATGCCTTGTTCTCATGCCCATTTTATAGATGGGGATACTGAGGTTCACAAGGAGCCTTCTCTCAGATACACTTTGTCATGTGCTAAGGGAGGCCAGGGCTGAGCCCATTCCCCGGGCAGGCAGGTCCTGTCCCTGAGTGGTGGGAGTGGGGCCTCCACTGAGGCAGCCCTTGTCCCTGCCATACAGGAACCTGGAACGGCACCACCAGGGTGGCCATCAAGACCCTGAAGCCAGGCACTATGTCTCCAGAGGCCTTTCTGCAGGAGGCCCAGGTCATGAAGAAACTGAGGCACGAGAAACTGGTGCAGCTGTACGCCGTGGTGTCTGAAGAGCCCATCTACATCGTGACAGAGTACATGAGCAAGGGTGAGCCAGTGGGCTGGCCAGGAGGACTCAGAGTAGCTAGAGTGCGTGCCTGCAGGGTGAGGCCACCCTCCTCCCCAAAGTGTTCTCCTCCTTTTCTTTTTTCCTTCTTTCTCTTTCTTTTATTTTTCTCTCTTTTCTCTCTCTCTCTCTCTCTCTCTCTCTCTCTCTCTCTCTCTCTCTCTCTCTCTCTCTCTCCCTCCCTCCCTCCCTCCCTCCCTTCCTTCCTTCCTTCTTTTTTTTTTTTGTATTGGAGATTGAACTCAAAGCATTCACACTGAATTATATCCCAAGACCTTTTTTAAAATTTTGAAACAGTGTCTTCCTGAGTCACAAAATTGCCTAGGTGGAGCTTGAATTTGTGGCCCCCCTGGAGTGCTGGGATTATAGGCGTGTGCTGCCGTGCCTGTAACAGATGGCATGAAGTGGGATCAAACCTGCACGTTGGCAGGAACTTAGGCAGAGACTGTCTTTTCTCCCAGTTTGTTCTGAGTGGTTTCTTACCATGCATTATTTGCTGGTTTTCTAAAGTTATTTGCTATTCTCAAGCTAAAAGAGAACTCTTCAGCCCTCCAACATGAGCCAGGGGCTTGACCTTGACTTAATTTTTATCTTTTTTTTTTTTTGAGACAAGGTCTTGCTACCAGGCTGGCCTTCAACTGCTGTAGCCCAGGCTGGCCTTGAATCCTCCTGCTTCAGCCTCCCCAGTGCTGGGACTGCAGGCATGCACCACTGCACTGGCCAGCTGTTTTCTCTGTGCTGCCAAGTAGGATCCTGCTGTGTGCTCACACTGATCTGACCCTCCCGGGGTGCGCAGAGGGTTCCTTCCAGCCTGTTTGATTGTGAGTGAGACCTGCTGAGGGAGGCTGGAGCAACTTTACAGCAAACCTCCTGTGCTGGCGCAGTGAGGCCAGTGTGGGGTGAGCTGCAGGAGCCTGGAGTCGCTGTGTCTTGCCGGGGCAGCATGGGGCAGGGCTGGAGCAGATTCTCTCTCTCTTTTGTCCAGGGAGTTTGCTGGACTTTCTCAAGGGGGAAACAGGCAAGTACCTGCGGCTGCCTCAGCTGGTGGACATGGCTGCTCAGGTGAGTCAGGCCCTCCTGCTTCCTGGCCTTTGCCCCAGAATGCCAGATCTCCCTGGCTCAGCAAGTTTTGGGCCTCTTGAGTGCCTCCTCCAGGAGGCCTGCCTTGGCTTCCCCACACTCATCTTGCTACCCGTATTACTGGAATCACTTGTAGGTGCCTTAAGTGGTGGTTCTGGACTGAGGACCTTAGCTGGGCATCAGCAGCCACTGACTTGCTGTGAGACCTCTGGCCTCAATTTTTCTCTCTGTAGTCACCCAACAAGTATGTAGGCAGAACTCAAGGCCTTTCTTCATTTACTCTTGATCAGAATCAGGAGAGGTAGAGATTGGATAGATGAGAAAACAGGCTCAGGAGAGACTTGGGACAGCTGGCAGGACGTGTCACGCATCTCTGGGTCAGTTGGGCCTCTTTGCCGTGGTTGCTCCACCTCCGTGGCTGCTGCTTACTGTGAGCCCTTCCAGTTCCCTCACACGTGCTTCCTGCTGGGCGCTGGTCCTGCTTCATAAACCAGTGATATCATTGTGAGAAGAAGTGTGGAAGGCGGGCACCACAGCTGGCTGCACCCCTGGGGAGGACCCAAGCCTGTGGCTCGGGAGCGTGGGGCAGCTTCTGAGCCAGAAACCTGGGTGCTGCCTGCAGATTGCCTCAGGCATGGCTTACGTGGAGCGGATGAACTACGTCCACCGGGACCTGCGCGCCGCCAACATACTGGTTGGGGAGAACCTGGTGTGCAAAGTGGCTGACTTCGGGCTGGCCCGGCTCATCGAAGACAATGAGTACACAGCCCGGCAAGGTGGGCAGAGGGTGCTGGCTGTGGAACCCTGGGCAGATCCTAGCTCTGGTCTAAGCCTCAGTTTCCTCATCTGTGGCAGAGCTGGGGTGATACACTGCTGAACCGCCCGCCCTTTCTCACACCTGCAGGTGCCAAGTTCCCCATCAAGTGGACGGCCCCGGAAGCTGCCCTCTATGGCCGCTTTACCATCAAGTCGGATGTGTGGTCCTTTGGGATCCTGCTGACTGAGCTCACAACAAAGGGCCGGGTGCCCTATCCTGGTGAGAAGGGGCTGTGCAGCCCATCAGTGATCCCCGAACCCCTGGTGGCTATGGGCAGTACTCACCCCTACCTTGGTTTCCTCATCTGTATAATGAAGAAGCTGAGCATCTGATATTAGGCTCTATATGGTAGGGTCCCCAGTCTTAGGGACACATTTAGCCTGGGGCCCTGCCTGTTCCAAGGTGGGAAGCCCTCCAGCCCTAACTCTGGCCCCACTCCTCTCTGGAGCCATGTTCCTTATGTTTCCTGTGCCCACAGGGATGGTGAACCGCGAGGTGCTGGACCAGGTAGAGCGGGGCTACCGCATGCCCTGCCCGCCAGAGTGCCCTGAATCCCTGCACGACCTCATGTGCCAGTGCTGGCGGAAGGAGCCCGAGGAGCGGCCCACCTTCGAGTACCTACAGGCCTTCCTGGAGGACTACTTCACATCTACCGAGCCCCAGTACCAGCCCGGGGAGAACCTATAGGGCAGGCTGCCCTACTGGGCTGGGGCCTGGGTGGGCCTGTGGGATCTGTACCCACCACCTGCCACTGTCAACCTTCCATCCTGGGATGAATTGCCAGGGATGAGGCCCTTCTGTCTTGGGCGCATGGCAGGGCTTCGGGTCTGTGGGGTCCACGGCCGGCACAGTGAATGTCCGAGTGCTGCTGTGGCCACACACCTCTTTATCCTTCCGGAGCTCTGTCTGTCACCAGAGGAGGATCTGAGAAAGGGGTCGGATGTCCTTTCTCGCTTCCACCTGCTGCCTGTGCCTGGACTCTTCCTTGGACGCCCGTAGGTCTGTCTCATGAGCTGGCCAAAGAGCCTTTCCAAAGAGGAGCAATGGCCCTGGGCCTCCGCTGCAGCTCCTGCCCTGCGGTCCTAGGGATGAGTTCATGCATGGAGGCTGCAGGGCCTAGACCCCTGTCCCTGGTCCTGGTCGGGCAGTGTGCAGCCCAGTGTGCTCCGTGATGGCAGGTGGAATGAGGACCCCTCCAGCTCTGCCCTCCTCCATCCCAGGGGCCCTTGGCAATCACCAGTTCCTTTCTCCCATTTCCCCATGGGGAATCTTGAGTCCAGACAGGGGATGTGCCTGGCCCCGGGCCACAGAGCAGGTTGGAGGTTGAGGCAGTGGGCTTGGTACCCGGTGCTCTGTCTGTCTTCCTCAGGAACCAGTGAGAATTGTCTTTAGAGGCATCTCAGATCTGGGCAGCCCAGGGGACAGGGGGCCTCAAGATGGGTCACAGACAGCAGGGTCCCACTGTCCCCAAGTGCTTGGCTCAGCCTGCCGGAATGGGCCTGTGTGAGGCTGAGCTAGAATGGAGGGGGAAGGGGAAGGTGCAGAAAGCAGGTTCAGGCAGAATGTAGGTGGCTTTTGGCCTCTGGAGCCAGCCCACCATGAAAGGGAGTAAGTGCCCAGGCTCTGGAGGTAAATCAAATAGAAGTCAAAGAGCAATGAGGCTGAGAGGCCCTGGTCCTGGCCTCAGGAGGGAACCCCAGGTCTTCTGTCCTCCAGCTTGTCCTGAGCATTTCAAAAGTTGGCCTCTGCCCTCACCAACAGATGGGTACCCCTGAATCACGAGTAGGGATGGGGTTCCCTGGCTGGAGTTGGAGGGAACAAGGGTGCCCATGGGCATACACTGCTGTGTGACTTGGAGGCCCTGCTTTGTCTGTGAGCCACAACTTGTGCCCTGTGTGTGGCTGCGGCTTCTACCTTCTCAGCTCCCGCTGGACCCTGTGGTGGACTCTAAGGCGAGCACAGCAGGAGATCTAGTGGTGGCTCTGCTGTTCAGCCTTAGGGTATGTGGTGGCTTCCTGCAGGCCCTCAGTGTGGCCATCTGTAAAATGGGCAGCTGACAATTAGTGGAATCCTGCCAAGGGCCCATCTGTGTGTGTGTGTGTGTGTGTGTGTGTACATCTGTGTGTATCTCCATGTGTGTCCATATTTAACAAGTAAAAACCACTCAGCTCTGTCCTCGCACGTGTTGTACATTTCACCACTGCCCCCATCACAGCAATAACATCCCATTGCCGGAGCCCTCGAGCCAGCCTGGGCTTGGCATTGGGGAAGGAGGCCGAGTGGTGCCTGCCGAAGAGGCTCCCATGTTCCTTTCCCTTCACACTCATCACTCAAGTCTCCTCCTGTCTGTCTGGGTCAGATCTGGGTTTGCTTCCCCTGCGAGCCCTCAAACCCCCCTCCAACTGCCCTGGGCCCTTTGTATAAGGTGTCCTAATACTGTCCAGTTTTTTTTTTTAAACAGTGTTTTGTAGATTTCAGATGACTATGCAGAGGCCTGGGGGACCCCTGGCTCTGGGCAGGGCCTGGGGGTTCCACATTCCATGGCCCAGGCTTGGGGGGGGGGATCAGAAATTGGTTGTAAATACTTTGCATATTGTCTGATTAAACACAAACAGACCTCCGTGTGGCCAGTGGTTTATTGAGCACCTACAGTTTGTGGGGGTGAAAGGTAGGCTGTGAATAGACTGCAGTTGGAGCCTTTGTTCCACCCCAGTGGGGGGCTTTGGACCAGGCAGTGGGGACATAGTCAGATCTGGGGCAGCCATGGGGGACATGGCCATGTGCACATACAGTATATCTATGTTGTGTTTGGGAGAAGCACCAGGCCTAACCCAAGCCTGGAAAGCATGGGGAGGGCAGGGCTGCCAGGCCTAGTGGAGTGTGGTGCTGTGTGTGCTGTTTGGGTGTTTCCTGGCATGCAGGGCAGGGTGAGGTGGATCTGGGAAGGACCCCAGAACCCTGAGGCAAATCCACCCCCTACCTCTAGCACTCAAGGATGCAGCCTGGAAATGTGACTGGCCACCGCCCGTGGGATGGTCTCTATTTCACATCAGCCTCCACTTGTGCAGGCAGCCACCTCTGACCTCCAAAGCAGGGCTTCATTAAAAACAAATGTCAGAGCTGGACATTTCTCAGTTTAGTGTTATTTTCACAAGCCAAATAATGCAGTATCCAGGGCAGCATGGAGCCCTGATGCCAGTGGGGAATGTGTGTTGTGGGAGCAGGAGTGGGACACAGGTTAGAGTTGTGGCAGCCATCCTCTGGCTGCATGTGGAGTGGCTGCAGGCCTGTGTGCTCCTGGGCGTGTTTGCTCACAGATAGGCAGTTTGGATGTTTGTGCGTGAGTGTGTGTCCAGGCTGTGTGTCTGGGCCATTTGTTCCCCAGTGTTGATGGGGGGTGGGGATTTTGTTTTGCTCAGGCTGTGCATATAAGATGTGTGTGTTGCCCTGGCAAAAACCAAGGGGACCTGTGTGGAGTGGTGGGTGCCCAGGGGTGTGCCCTGTGGGTCTGTGTTAGCTCAGGTGCAACCCCATGCTGCAGGCCACATCAGTGGCTCATCTCACTAACCTGGTGGGGACAAAATTCTTGCCCCATCTTGTCACTGCCGGTAGGGGGAGTGCACCTGGGAGGTTCTTCTCGCGGCCTTCAAGTCTGCCCCCCGAGTGGGGCTTTTCTCCTCCTTTCACTCTGTCCTCCAGCTCTCCAGGGTGCTGTGTTGACACTGAATATTCTTTCTATCCCTCTCATTTCTTGGTCTGTCTCTCCAAGCTTCTGACCTTTTGCCTGCGTTTGTGTCCCACTGCTACTGGTTTGCATCCTCTGAGCCTCCCTGCAATGCTGCTTCTCCTGGTCCCCCCGCCTCAGGCTTCCCTGTCTGTGCCTCTCTCCACGTCCCTGACTTCCCCACACATTCATACGGGAAAATCCAGGTCCAAGATTTCCCCGGCTGGGTGTGGTGGTACCTGTGTGTAACCCCATCACTCAGGAGGCTGAGGCAGGATTATGGAAAGTTCACGCTCTCCTGTGGGAGAGCGCAGCCCTGAGCCTGAGGCAGGAAGGAGTGCAGGGCTGCAAGGGGGCCTGTGGGAAGGTCCTGCCCCTCCCCCCAAAAACAGGACTTCCCTGGGGCCAGTCCTGCAGTGGCCTCTGCGTGTGTGTGCGTGTGAAGCGTGCAGTTGCCTGTGGATGTGTGAGGCCCATGCCTGGGTTTGCCTTGCTCCTCCTGCCTCTTCTCCAGGGTTTTATTGATTTCTCCTCCTGCCAGAGTTGCACATCCTGTGTGCTGGGCGCATGCATATGCCTGCGTATGTGCTGTGTGCTGTGTGCTGTGTTGCATGTGTGATGTGTGGTGTGTGTACACCGCTTGCCTGGCCACTCACAATGTGATTTCTTGACCATCTTTCCTCCCTTGTGATTTCGTCTGACCAGACCTTGTGCTGGGTGTTAGTATGGTGTACACACACACACACACACACACACACACGTGTGCAGGTGCGCTGCATTTTCTCTCATCTCTGTCATCTTTGCCTATTTCTCTTTTGTGTGTTCCAAAAGCCTTGCTTTGCAGAAAGGAAAAGGGACTGGGGGAGGCTAACAAGTAGCAGAAACAGAGATGGGGTGGGACCTTGGGGAGGGGAGTCTGGAGACAGGTGGAGGGGGCAGGGCAGGAGCTGAGTTCTGCATGTGTCCCCCGCCCCCCACCTTCCTGCACCCTGTGGGTCTCCCGGGTCCTGAAAACCTCTGCAATCTGCTGTCTCCCACCTACCCGTCATGCTGTGGTCTCCTTACTGCTGTCTCTTTCTCTGAGGGTCTCATCCCTCAGGTGCAGGGGTGTGTGTGTGTGTGTGTGTGTGTGTGTGTGTGTGTACACATCTCTGAGGGCTGCTTCCTCTGGCAGGCAGTAGGTGCTCTGTGGCCCAACCCGCTGGCCCCAGGATCTCCCTTGCCTCTTCCCACGTCCCTCGCTTGCTGCCTCTGGCGCAGTCCATCTGTGTACATATGCGTCTGTGCATGCATCTCTTCTTTTTGTGGTACTGGGGGTAGAACCCAGGGCCTCACCCGTGTTTTGCAGATGCCCCGCCACTGAGCTGCATGCCAGCCCTGTGTGCACGGATCTCCTGTCCACTGCTTTGCCCTGGCCCTGGCCCCCTTGCAGCCCCGCACTCCTTCCTACCTCAGGCTCAGGGCTGCCCTCATTGTGGGCAGTTTCCCTCCAACGTCCCCTGCACACCCCTCCTCCACTTTGTGCTTGTCCCTGCAGGGTCCCTTGGCAGAGACACCCCCTCCCCAACCCCTTTTGCCCCAAGCACTGGGCCCCCAGGCTCCACCTTCTCGGGCCTACCTGCTGCCTCAGCCTTTCATCCCCTTGTCCCCTCAGGGCCTTTGTCTCCCTCACCCTTTCCAGCTGGCTCCAGCTGGGACTGAATTCGCACTTCTGCCTACAATGCTGCCCTTTTCTTCATTCTCTCAGGGGTCCCTGCACTGAGCTCTGTCCTGTCCTTGGCCTGTCTTCCCCCACGCCCACACTGGAGACTCACAGTCCCCATTATGACTTTTATAGGCCTCTTCCATAAAAGAAAATTAAATGGATGACAACATTGCTATAAAGGTGAGTGTATTAATGTTACACGGGGCTGGCCTGTGGCTCTGAGGCAGAGGGTTTGCCTCGTGTGGGCAAGGTCTTGGGTTCCATCTCCAGATGTGCAAAAAATATTTTTCTTTGAGATAAGGTCTGTGTTTTCTTGTGATTTTAAGAGCAATTGAAACACTTTACAGGCCCCTTCTGTTCTGGTCAGGCCTGGGCATGTGCTACTTGCTGCAGTTGTGCCCCCTCTGTGCCCACTGACCTCTGTCTCTGTACCATTCTGTGCCTACCCCCCCTCCCCCATCTGCCCAGTGAGTGAGCCTCTGACACAGGTGGGCCTGGGGGTGTATGTCTGCCTCCCTCTGTCCGTTCCTCTGACTAGTGGAGCGGCCTTTGTGTCTGTCCGCCAAGGGGTGGAGGCTCAGGGCTCTGGGCTCTGGGGCCTCCAGCAGGCCTGCGGGGGTTCCGTGTGGGCTGCTTTTGCCACTGCCCTGGCCGCCTTCCTCCCCTTGCTCCAGCTTTGGGGCTCATTGCTGTGGGTTGGGGTTTGTTTCCTTGCACTCTCAGTGCTCTTCCCAGAACACTCCCTGGGAGCAGCTACTCCAGCCTAGCTCTGTGTGTGTGTGTGTGTGTGTGTGTGTGTGTGTGTGTGTTCACTAGCATTTCCTGACCCACTTCCCGTGCTCTCCCCTCCCCTGCGCCCTGTGCCTTCTCTCCTGTCTTTCCTCTCCTCTGCTCTTACACCGACTCCCAGCTTCACTTTCACAGGTGCACAAGCCTGCACCCGCCCCACACCCACTACTCTCTGTGTGTTCCCTTGCCAAATGTCCATGGAGCCCCTGCTATTGTGATCCTGGTGTGAGGGCCAGGGGTCCTGGGGTCAGGAGGGTCAGCTGGGGTTCAGCTCCCACAAGCTGCCTGCTATGGAACAGCACACACGCAGAAAGGCTGGAGGCCTCAGGCAAGGCAGGTCCTGAGCTGTCCAAGGAGCAAGGAGCTCAGTGAGGGCCAGAGAGTGGGGAAGTAGGTTGGTGAGGTAGGTGTAGGGTGAACTCTGCAAATGGCCTGGGGGCGGGGGACAGATGTCAAGTCATTCCTCCTCATCTTACCTCTTCTGTGCCATGTGATTGTGTGTGTGTGTTTCCTGGGATTCTGACCCTCTTCCACCTCCTGTACCCGAGTCTTCTGCAGTCCTCTTCAGATTATGTGAGTGGGCTGCACGTGCAGCGTGTGCTGCATGGCTGCACAGCGCACAGCAGGGTGGGTGTGATGGCCCCTCGCTGCTGCCCGAATCCAGCCCAGGCCACGCCAAGGAGCTGTGACACCCACTGAGGCGCCTCCTCTCCTCTCCTGCCAATCGCCTGTCCTTCTGCAGAATCTGTCCTGCTGCTCCTGAGGCTGCCTGGCTGGGATGCTGCGCCTCTCATAATCTTTCTCTGGTTGTTTTCCTGTCTTTGTTTCCATTCTGGTGTTTCTGTCTTTGTTCTTTGTTCTCTCCTTTTGTGTTTCTGTCTGCCTCTCTGTCTCTATCTCTGTGTCTCGACCTCTGCTTTCATTGAACAGTGAGTTACTGCTCAAACATTGTGAGTTTCTCTGGTGAAGACGGCCGTGAGAGCGTCCCACATGCTCTTCCCAAGGGCTGGGTGGTCACCCCACCTCGAGTCCACTCCCCCACCCTGGCAATTGGCAGGTTTGCCTTAAGTGGCCCAAAGGGCTCTGCCTTTTGCCTGCCCTGAGGCTCCGGGGTCTCTGCAGACAGTGTGAGTAGTGGCTGCCTCCCCTCTCTCCAAGTTGGGGGTCATTGCCATCTGCTGAGGGGTTTGTTTCCTTTCACTCCAAAGGCTCTTCCTAAAACACTCATTGTGGAGCAGCTGCTCCTGCCTGGCTCCCGTGTGTGTGTGTGTGTGTGTGTGTGTGTGTGTGTGTGTGTTGAGAATCTTCCTTCTCCCTCTTTCCCATTCCCACCTTGTCTCCAAGGTTTTCTTCTGAAACCTGTTCTGGCCATGTGTGCATTCACAAAGAGGTGTGTGTGTGT